CCACTCCTGGTTTTGTTATACATTGAATTCTGTGTTTTCTATATAGGTAATCCTGCCTCATCTCTACAGAGACAGTTTTATGTCGTCCAGTTGTCTTGCTGAAGTGACTTAAGAACTGTGGGAAATAGAGCTGAGATAGTATAGCTACTTGCTTTGTTAGGGGAAGGCTAACAGTCTCACTAGCAAGAGGGGTCTTGTAGAAAGTCCTCTTCTATTGATCTTTTCTGAGAGACCTTCCCTATGAATAGATGTTGAGTTGGCCAACAATTGTTTTGTGTATTGCCATGATTAATTTTTATATATAGAATCAGTTTTATGTCCATGAAATAAATCCTACTTGGGCATGTTATAGAATTTTTCATATATTACTGAGTTTGATATGCTAATGTTTTCTTAAAGATTCTCACACTGCCCTTGAGTGAAACTGACTTCATAAAATCAGTAGAAAAGTATTCTCTCCTTTCTGGAAGAAATTATACAGAATGTGTGTTCTTTAAATATGTGGTAGATTTTCCCCCAGGAAAACTATCTTGGAAGTCTTTTTCTTTGGGGGACAGGAGTCTGTGTGGCTGGCTGGCCTCAGTCTCCCATGTGCTGGGATTGTGGGCATGTACACAGATTTAAATTTACAAGTGTTATTTCCATAAACTCCAGTCCAGTGTTTCCCTCTTTACTCTTACAGACCAGTTTGTTTTTGTCTTCCACTTTGAGATTGATAGGAATCATTTTCTGTTTATTCCTTTTTATGTTTATTTCTCTAAAATTGAAGTCTTTTTTTTCCAGTCTCGGGAAACAAGGTATCTTTCTCCTGTGCTATGCTCTTATTTCCTGTCCCAGAATCTGGCTCTGAAAGTCATCTCCTGAACTCCATCATTGCTGACTCCTTCCTTCAGCCCATCAAGGTGCTCAGGAGACTTCCACCCTAAAGCAACTTCCTGTACTTCACCAAGCCATCTAACATTAATGCTGCTTTCTCTGCACTATTTCATTGCATTAGTCAGTAATGTTGAGTAGTAATCAAAGCATACTTGGGGGCTGGAACCTAGCATGCACGTGGTTCAGTGCTGTACTACCAGTTTTCAAAAGTAAAACAGGGATGTGGCTTCCTGCTAGATTGTCTGCCTACCAGCTGCGTGCATCCGATAAGCACTTGGTTACCTCGGGCTATCTTTTCTTTACTCTCTATTCCTCTTTCCCTCTCTCCATCCATTTTTCTCTCTTTTCTGTTCTGTTCTTTTTCTTTCTCATTCCTCCCTCCCTCACTCCTTCCCTTCCTCCCTCCCTTACTCCTTCCCTCTCTTCCTTCTATCTTTGGTGCTGGGATTTCATGTGGTAGGCATTGAGCTTTATAACCAAGCCCTTAAAATGTGCCATAAAGTGTAAATACAATATTCCATAAGTGTAAAATATAAGCATGTGTTGAAGGCTCAGCATAAAAAAGAGTACAAAGTACCTCAACAACTTTATAATGGCTAAAATATTTTACATATGATGAATTAAATAAGATTATTATTTAAATAATCTTGTCTTTTCACTTTTTGTAACGTGGTGACTAGAAAATGTAGCATTGTGTCTGTAACTTCTTTGAGTTTTTCATGAAGCTGACTCTCTCTCATCACATTGCCACAGACCTGCTCTACCTGACACTGTTTGAATACTGTCTGAAGGACAGTGTATTTACTCATTTCTCAGAGAACAGTATTAATCTCATAATTCAATGGTTTGGTTTGGGTACTATAGGAACAAACGTAGGATTTAGTATATGCTAGGCACAAGCATAATTCAGTTTACTCCAAGATTTGGACTTTGAAAACAATGCCCTCTCTATTTTATTTTGTATTTAATTTTAGGTAAAAAGTGGTAATTATCAGAGTAGAATTATCTTTGGGTAAAAAGACTGATCAGTCTCTTCACTTTAAACTACACTTCCTGACAGAGATTGATTGCTTTTGATGTTGTGGTTGTCACTTCCTCCGACTCTTACTTCATTTTTCATTCCTCTCATGGTTGTGGGTATGCAGCTCTTATGAAATTTATTTTTATTTTAAATTCAATAGATGTTATTTCCACAAATGTATTCCGTATATTCTGCTTCCAGCACGGCAGATGTGTAAGAGATAGGCTCCTCCGGTAGAATAGAAATTACTTGGTTTTCTGTGATTCTCACCATTACTAAAGTGGACTACTAGGGTAAGCCAAAAGAGAATAAGGTGTAATTGCTAGCCTAACGAGGTAGCATCCTTCCAGTATGTCCCTGAATACCAATGAAGGAGGGAGATTTAACGGAAAAACATTTATTTGGGAAATGGGAAAGATCAAAAATGAGACCAAAATGTAGCACATGTGCAGCATTGAAGTCTGTGAGGTAAAATATCACTCATTCTGAAGTCTTCTGTAAGAATATTTGTTTATTTTAAAGCTCTGGAAGTCTGCATGTGTCTCATAGAAACTTAATAGAATAATTGTGCCTAGAAAGAGGGAGCTACTTGAACCATTGTACCATTTTAAGAATTGCACTATAAAGACAAAATTTAAAATCTAGAAATGCAGGGAAATGGGCACGTATGTTTTGTTTCACTATTAATTCCTTGTCTTCAGTAATTAATAAAGAGCATCAGCTTTCAGCATTAAGACTTGGTAGTACCTGCACTCACTTGATAAACACCAATTTGTGACTTACTGAATGTATACCTGTTACTCTTCGTGCAAATCCTTACCTACTGGCAAACTAATTAATAGGTTGTTATTGGAAAAATTGAAGTAATGCTTATAGAGTATATGGCTTATTACAAACATTTTATTTTAAAAGTTGTTAACATACTTTATTATCAAATTGCTTGTCTTTTAATTTGTGTTCATTTTATTTTTGAAATATGAAGAGTTGGGTTTCATTCTATTCCTGAATTTACTTTTTTTTTTTACAAACCTTGATAGATTAGTGTGAGCATGTTTCAACATATCGTGAAGCTGATAATTGATACTAGTTAACTGACCTCTGAACAAATCCAAATATACCTAGGTGATTAATGTGTTAGACACTTAGAATTCATATTAAGTATTCTAATATAAATATTCAGACCAATATGCTTTTGAAGAAGAAAACTTTTATGACTGTGATTTAAACCTGAAAATTAGTTTCTATTCCAAGTAGAGTTTTTTTGCTCCGTTTTTGGTTAGATCAGTCAGAATCACTTGCCTTTCCCTCCTCCTGACTCTAGAAGAAGCTAAACAAGTGATGTGCTGGTAGTGCATAGAGATTGAAGACACTGGGTTGTTTGTTTGTTTGTTCGTTTGTTGATTTCCATGATGTAACTATTTCCATCAGACTCAATTTTAGGCTACTGATATTGGATGTAGAGTTGAGAAAAGATGTACAGTAAACCAGCATTGTACAGTGTTTCCATCTTGCAGACAGAATGTATACAACCTTGAAAGGGTAGAAAAGAAGAAGGTTTAACAGCCTGAAGAAGTGATGAATTCCAAGTATCTATTACTTTAATATAGCTAATTATGTCTGTGTGGCTTAATGTTTAATAATGATTGTTTCAGCCAACAGTGTGTATCTCATGAGCTGATACATACTAACTCCAGTTGTTCTAGGCCTATAAGGTATCTTTAGTGTTAGTGTTAGTAAATGTCTGAGCATTTATTTTTCTAAAATACAGAGCTGATCCTACGATCCAAGAAGTCATTCTGCAGTCAAGTCCCACATATCTTTTCCAATGTCATTTCAAGTCATTACAAACTGTCCTATGTTCTGTGCCCCCTGTCCTAGATGTAGATGACTTGTAATTTTTTAAGCATAGCACACTTTCCTATCCCAAGCCTTTTCAAAAGTGTCTTCAGCCTTGAATGACCTCACTTCATTTGCCTGGCTTTCAAAATTCTGTTTATTTCTTTTTCTAGAAATATCACAAATGCTACTGGTGCTCATTTCCTTCTGTGGGAAACTCCCATTCTCCTTGATGTTTTTCTCAGTTCTTTGTACTTCATTTGAACTCAAGTTTATTCTTGTAGCAAATGCCTGTCACTCAGTAGGTTATTAATTACCTTTGGATCATACTGTATTCAATACATTAATAACCTTAAAAGATTAATAAATACTTATTTATTGAAGTAGGACAAATTGTGGACAATGCATAATACAGTCTGAGAAACTGACTAGAACTTAAAGATTTTTGAAATTAGGTCACATGCACCATTCTTTCTCCTGATAGTTCAAAACCAGATTATTTGTTATCTGCCCATATCTTGAAACTGGAGAACATCATGAGAACTCTGGAACTTACTGAAGGAGAATTTCACAGAGCAAACAAGGCACTTAAGACCAAAAAAAGACCAAGTTCTTTAACTGTGTTTACAAATTATTTTTATTCTGATTTAGTGTGCTTTCTGGTGTTCTCAGAATAAAGCCAAAAGTACTGTTTCCAGTATAAAGATGGACTGGGCCTTTGTATTAGTAATGGCCCTTGAAAGAAGCAAAAATAATCAAGCTCTGACTTGAGGGAAACTGTTTTCAGTCTGTTGGGTTCTCGGGCATTTTTTCTGGAGTTACCTGATTGCCTTCACAGTAAGTGTTGTTGCAATCAAAGTGTGTGAAGAAAATGATCTAAAGTCAAAAACAACCCAAGACTTCTTGGAGAAAATGTGGCCCGTTCTTTGTGATGTTTCTGCGTTTTTTTTCTATCTTTTACCCTAAGCTGCCACCTAATGGCAAAAGTTTAAATGACATATTTATAAAATCTAAAGAGTACATTGAAATGTTATAGATTCATTACAAATCCTTAGACCTTAATAAGCATTTGTATAATTTTGTATCTTATTAGTTGAGTGATTTTTTTGGCCCTCAGAGAAGTCATATTTATTATTAATCTTTGTTAGACAATGCTTCTACTAAGGATGTTTGTCTTAAAAGTTGGATTTCTTTTATGGGGCACTATAAAGAATATGTTTTGGTTCAATCTAGTAATTTTCTCTTTTTCTTTTTTGCTTTTCTCCAGAGCGACAGCACTCAGATACCATGGTGTTCCTTTACCTGTGGGTGGTCTTTTGTGTCATCAGTTCCTGCTACACCCTCATCTGGGACCTCAAGATGGACTGGGGTCTCTTCGATAAGAATGCAGGAGAAAACACTTTCCTCCGGGAAGAAATTGTATACCCTCAAAAGGTGTGTATGGGATGTTCACACTTAACGAAAAAAGTAAAAACCCATAGCTATATAAGTAGTTAGATCATACACCAATACTGACCCAGAGCTCTAATTACATTAATCTAAATATGACTAAAATATAATTATCTGGCAGGGTGGTGTATGCCTTTAAATCCCAGCAATCAGGAGGCAGAGGCAGGTGGATCTCTGTAAGTTCAAGGCCAGCCTGGTCTACATAGTAAATTTCAGGACAGCCAGGATAGTTACATAGAGAAAGCCTGTCTCAAAAAAACAAAACAAAACAAAATCATCCAAGATACCAATCTAGTCCACAGAAAAATGTATCATGTATGCCATGTGGTAGATGCAGTGGAAATGTAAGCAGATAAGCAAATGGCAGTGTGATGTAATAACTAATGGAGGGTGTGATGTACTCTGAGAAACCTCTATTTTCTTAGCATATTTGCCCATTTGCACTCTCCCTTTTTTATCTCAAATGGTCTTCCCTTTACTTTATAATCTTCCTATTATGTTATAATTATGCTTGGGTATTCATACTCCTCGCTGCTCAGAACAATTTTTGGTTTGTAGCACACTTGGTGTACACGGAATGAGTGCTCATACTCGACTGAAAAGGAGCTTTCTGAGCACATGGGGAAAGGACTGCTGACTGCTCACCCTGTTGTCTAGTGCAGTGAGGTTTTGTTAGTACCAACCCAATCAGGAAAAAAGTACCTTTACACAGATGATTTAGTAAAGGTAAATATCATGACTAGACCTTGAAAAAAAATAAAGAATGAGCTGGGAATCTGGGTATGTGTATTCCAATCCCAATCTCATCACTAACCAAGCTATTTAGTCAGCCAGATTGCAGGGGATTCTCAAAGATAAGAGTGTAGACTACATTACCTCTTGATATATTCTCAGGCCTAAAGTTCTGTTATGGATAGCATATAGATTAGATTGTGTTAATAGTATACCAAAATGTCACCATTACATCAAATTTGTGTTTTGAAAAGTATATGATTGTATAGGATTGAGTAGAGAATGCTGTGACTAAGGCATTAAACATTTTTATAATTCTCAATTAAGAGGAAAAATGAATGGGATGGGGCCAGGGAATAGCATGCTGGTAAAGCACTAACAGGGGCAATACACAGATTGTCATTTAGAAAAAAAAGAAGGGGCCGGGCGGTGGTGGCGCACGCCTTTAATCCCAGCACTCGAGAGGCAGAGGCAGGTGGATCTCTGTGAGTTCGAGACCAGCCTGGACTAACAAGCGAGTTCCAGGACAGCCTCCAAAAAACAATACAGAGAAACCCTGTCTCGAAAAACCAAAAAAAAAAAAAAAAAGAAGGTCAGTAGTCAGAGTAGGCATGAATTCAGTTAAAGCTATCTTTATGTTCACCATGTGTGTGCTTCCTGTTACTGCTTATGGTGTTTCTAATGTGGGTTACTTTAGTTTACTGTATCTCTACATAAATTATTCTATTTTCTATTAAAATGAATTCTGATTTACCATTTTCTGTGTAATGAAATTAGTGAGCAGAATCTTTCAATTAGTTTCTTTATTATATTTTAATGCCATAGAAAATTAAGTATATACTTTCTTACATTGTAATTGCAAATTTATAAGAAAAAAGTGAAGTAACCACTTGTGAAGTCCAGTGAATCTTCATTATAAAATCCTATCATAGTCCTCATAAAAATCCTGCCTGCTTTCTCTCATGTCGGGAACCTAGATATTTTGTGTGTGTGTGTGTGTGTGTGTGTGTGTGTGTGTGTGTGTGTGTGTGTGTGTGTGTGTGTGTGTTTTGTGAAACTGGCAAGGGGACCATGAAAGGGTTTTAAAAAAAAAAAGATCTTAAAAGGAAAAGGAAGTTGGGAATGATGACAATACATATGACATGAAAAAAAGGAGGAGCTGTTGTTGGGACAGAAGAGGGGATGGGGGCAAGGAGGTAGGGCAGGGGGTGAGTAAGAATAAAGGCTGAAAATGCCCTACTGAAATCTATTGCTTATCATACACTAACTTTTAAATTTTTAATTTAAAAACTAATCAGTTGGTGGATAATGTCTCAAATTGATTAGCCAAAATATTAAACACATTATTTAAAATTATGGAGGGCAAATGGAATAGACAGTTATAAATGTCTGTCTCTGGGGAATGGAAAAGAGTAAGTACAGGGATCAAATATCGGTTCTTGTTAATAGCCCTCTGATGGTGACTCACACTTTGTTAAAATTAAATAGGGCTGCAGAGATGGCTCAGTGCATAAGAACACGTACTGATCTTGGAGAGGACCTGTATTCAGTTCCTCATGGCAGCTCACAACCACCTAGAGCTCCAGTTCCAGGACTCATTGTCCTCTCTGGCTTCCAAAGGCATCAGGCATACACACAGTACACGTATATACATGCCAGCAAACACTTGCTCACAAAAAAGAACAATACTTTCTAAAAGTAAATTACATAAATACTACAGCTTATTACATAGCAGTTTTGGTTACCAAAATGCCACAGCCTTTAAATACATTTTAAAGGGCTAATTTTGCTTAGTAATAAGCAAATCCATAAGTTTTGGGATCTATTGGCATTTTTATATTTAAGACTTGGGTAATTAAACTGGATTAGTTGAATACTATCTCTTATGTTCAGCCATGTTTGTAAAAGCTAAACCTCATTTGATTTATCAACATAAAAAACAAGACAAAACTTGTACTCTATATGGGATAAAGAAATTTGAAAATGTAAATGGTACAATTAATAAATATGCTAATGTCCTTTAGTATTAGTGACTTAGTCATTGCATTACCATGTTTCTCCTAGAATGTAACCTCAGTTGATCAAGTTTTTCATTTAACTTAGAAGGGAGTCTTGTGCACAGTGTGGTCATGAACTATACTTGTTAAGTGATTTCTGAAACTCAGTACTACATCATTTTAAATACTGCACTATTTAGGGAAACTAAAACCTATGTACATTTCCCCCTATTTATCTGTCAGTGGGACATCTGTGGGTCTTCACAGCTGATGTAGGGGTACTTTGTGAGAAAAGTGATGAGAAACATACTTTATTTGCTTATATTTCTTAGGCTTACTACTACTGTGCCATCATAGAAGATGTGATACTGCGCTTTGCTTGGACTATCCAAATCTCTATTACTGTTACAACCTTTCAACCTCATGTTGGGGACATCATTGCTACTGTCTTTGCCCCCCTTGAGGTTTTCCGGTAAGCAAACCTTTGAACAATCTATCAAGGATTCTATTAAAAGATGCCAGGTACTGGGCCAGCAAGCTGACTCAGCAGGTAAGACACCACCACCAAGTTTGATGATCTGAGTTCAATCATGGGACCCAGATAGCAGAAGGAAGTTGTCCTTGACCTCTACACATGAACTATGGCATTTGTGTTCACACAAATACAAAGAAGATGATATAATAAAATTTGTTTGGGCATGGAGTGATGTACACCTTTAATCCAAGCACTCAAGAGACAGAGGCAAGTATATCCTTGTGAGTTCAAGGTCAGCCAGAGTTACATATGAGACTCTGTCTCAAAAATTACTATTATTATTATTATTATTAGAAAATCACAAAAAGATAGGTTTAAAAATATCAGACATTTAGAAATGAACCAAAACATGTTTGTACCCATCATTTTTCACTGTGAAAGAGAAGCAACAGGTACAGGGTAGAAAGGAAGGTTTCAGGGAGTCTTGAGTCCATGGCACGGGTGGCGTGGCAGGGCATGGTGACATAATATGTGGCCGAGGCTTATCTATCACAGTGGACCAGGACCAGAAGATGGAGGCCAGAACTAGGGACAAGTATAAATTTCAAAGATTCCTAGTGACCTTCTCTGGCCAGGCCCCACCTCCTCCATGTTCCATAGCCTTCAAAATAATACTGGAAAGACTCAGCACACAAAGACTCTGGGGACACTTCAGATTCAGACTATTGTGATGTCTAATGCCCTGGGGTTAAAGTTAAAATTGTAACAGATGGTAAAAATTGTTTGTTGTTGTTTTCCAAACAAGGTTTATCTGTGTAACAGCCTTGGTTGTCCTGGAACTCACTTTGTAGACCAAACTGACCTTGAACTCACAGAGATCCTCCTGCCTCTGCCTCCCTGAGTGCTGGGATTAAAGGCATGGGCCACCACCACCTGGCTCAAATATTTTTAATAGACTGAAATTGAAAGTGACAACAAAAAGAAAATGAAAATGCAACTAAAAAGTCACTGGAAACATAACCATAAATGTATATATCAGAAGAGTAGAAAGCTTTAGAAATTAGAGAAAAATTAAAGCTTCAAATCAAACCTAAAGAAGGAAATATATAGATTAGAAATTACCAGACTAGAAAATAGATGTGCAGTGGAGAGTATTAACAAAAGCAGACTCTAAAAGAGTAACGATTGAGGAAGTGCTTACCTAAGACTAGTCTTGGGAAAGTGGGAGCAAGAAGCCTAGCTGCCAGGAACCCTGAAGAAGGCCGGGGTGTGGTTCAGAGGCAGAGTCTGACCAATTTGTGCAAAGCTCTGCATTCCTTCCCTGGTCCAGGAGAGAAGTTCTGAAGGTTTTTAAAGAGACTGTAAGTGCCATTAGGTGAAATAGTCAAATGCCTTAGAAAAAATAGTTTACCATAATCAATAAGAAATCTATATTTTTGAAGGCACCAAAATTTAAATCAATATCAAAATATTTTCCATGAAGAAAACTCCAGACCCAGAAATTCTTCCAAATAGTTGAAGTCAATTTTTTACCATTTCAACAAACTTCAAAGGAGAGGGACAAAAAAGGAATATGAGTATGACAGTCATCTGAACCTCCAAGGATATTCCCAGAAAGACCTTGTGCTATCACAATGTTGTCTTGCATCATAGGTGCAGAAATCCTGAACACAACATTAGCCAGTGGGTCCACTAGCATCTAGAAGGATTAATACTTTAAGATTTAGGATCATTCTATGAATTAAGGTTTAATATTTGTCTTAGTTACTGTTCTGTTAGAGTGAAGAGACACCATGCTGGTGACGCTTATAAAAGGAAGTGTTTAATTGGAGCCTGTGTTTCAGAGGGTCAGGGTATAGTCAATGTCAGGAAGCATGGCAAACGCAGGGGCTAAGAGCTATATCTTGATCTGTAGGCAGCAGGCAGAGAAATCAAGCTGGTTCTGCCTTGGGCTTTTGAAACCTCAGAGCCTGTCCCAGTGACGCACCTTCTCCAACAAGGCCATTCCTCCTAATCCTTCTTAAACAGTTCCACCGACTAGTGACCAAGCATTCAAATATATGATCCTATGGGGGCCATTTGTATTCAGACAACCACAGTGTTCAAAAACTAATTCATGTCATTTAACTCAATAACAGAACAAGAGGGAGGAGCCTGTTACATGTGGGAAAGGCCATTGATAACAATACCTGTTTAAGCAAAGGGGTATCTGTCTATAGTCACAGCTGTTTTAAAGGCTGTGGCAGGAGGACTGTTGGAGGTCAGGCTGGGCAACATAGTGAAAGCCTATCTCAAAACCAAACAACAAAAATTTCAACATTTTAAAAATCAAATCGATACTTGTTCCTGAAAAAAAAATAGAAAAAAAATATAAGATCACAAAGCACCATAAGCTCTCCATTATGGTTAGGATGTGCTCATGTCTGCTGTTACCAGTTTGGTTTGCCACCATAATGCTGCAAGTGTGGGTATACAATGAGGAAGGTTTTAAAGAACTTACATCATTTTAATAATGCCAAATACGTTAAAACACCCAGAAGTAAATCTAATGAGAGATTGGTATGTGTGTGAAAATTGACAAGCCTGTTCTTTAGTGGTGTGTGCATGTGTGTCTGCGTGTTTCAGATGGAGTTATCACTAAGTTACCCAGGCTGGCTTCCAATACCCTATGCAACCATCTCACAGACCCTCAAACTAATCCATTTTTAAGTGATCTGTAATAAGAATTAAAGACCAAGTACTCTGTGGTACCAGTTATACTTCTGTCACTGTCCCTCAGCCTGCACAGCCAGGGTAAAGTTCCAGTGTTAGCCCATTTCCCAGTGACAGAGAATCATAGGCAAAGAAACTCACCCATCATCCTTATGGCCAGTAAGCAGTGGAGCCGTGATTAGAATCTAAACAGTCTTCAGTTGAAGCTCCTGGATTATACTGTTTTGAAAACTCTTTGTTTATCCTGTATTTCCCAGCAAAGCACTGTCTTCTCTCAGCTTCTCAGGAACTATATGTTCTCAATTCTCACAGCTTTTCTTCTCAACTCCTTTACTGGTTTTTCTTCCCCTCCTGACCTGTAAGTGTTGGGATGGTACTCTGCACTGGTCTTTTCTAATCATTTTATTCCTAAAGCCTGTGGTTTGAAATATTGTCCTTATGTTGTCTCCAGTCACAAACTCTGCCTTGATCTCCAGGCTCACTGTGTCCATCTACCTACTGAATTCTCCACTTGGGTATCTAATGACTGGGCAGCTCTAGCCTAACAGGAAGAAAGCTGCTTCTTTGGTCCTAATAAATGATGTCACCCTTCACCACTTGACAAGTCCTGTCAGCCTCATCTTTAAAGATCTCTAGTCTCTTGCTCCCCATCACCATCCACTCTTCCTGTCATCATTCACTCTCCCAGACTTCTAACTGGTCTCCATCTGTTCTTTTCCCCTAGTCCAGTCATTCTTCCATCAGTAGAGTAATCCATTTAGAACAAATCGTGTCAGTCTCCTCAGACCCCTTACTGTGAAACCTGGGCTCTTCCCAGAGGTTTATATCTCTGGAGATGGGTCCTCTCCTGACTCTCCATCTTGTTTCCTGCAATTTTAACCACAGTTTTGCACTCCAGCCCCACAGACCTTGCTTCTATTCCAATACACCAAAAGTATTTCCTTAGGCTTTTTTTTATCCTGTTGTTCCCCCAGCCTAAGATCCTTGAATTTCCTATGACTTGCCTCTTTGTATCATTCACATATTTCTTGGATGCCATCTATCTGTCAAAGTCAGTTTCCCCAACCAGTCTTGGGGCAGGTACTCTGTTTCTTTTCTGCTCAATAGTCTGTAGAGCACCTAACAGCTGATTATTTATTTGCTCACCTATCTTCACTACTGAAATAAGGGCAGAGACTATATCTGTGCCATTCAGTGTCATTCCCTCCTTTTAACAAGCATTCAGTAGTGAATAAAGAGAAAGATTATATTCCAAAAGACAATCTTGTTGACTTTCTCCCAATCATCACACCATCTTTCCCTTCATTTTATTTATTGTATGGTTGTGTGTCAGGGGAGTGGGGTGCATGTGGGGGTCAGGGGCAAACTCAGTGTCATTCCTCAGGTGCCTTCCACCTTTTGTTTGAGACAGGGTCTCTCATCAGCCTGGAACTTCACCAAGTAGGCTGGGCTGGCTCTACTGGTCTAGTGTAGGTCCACCTGTCTGCTACCCGTCTTGCCATTGCTGTAATTACGAAAGCACACCACTGTGCCTGGCTTTTGACATGGGTTCTGGGTTTCCAAACTCATATCCTCACACTTATGAGGCAAGTGCTTTGCTAACTGAACCATTATCTCCCTAGCCCTCTCTTTGATTAATATTCTAGCCCATAATAATTGGTTTGTTTTGTTCTCGGTGAATAGGAACTTGAGCCTCCTGGAAGTTTACAGGTAGTAATATCTTCAGATCTTAACTTGGATGTATTTACCCCATTTTGCCTAGGCGATTTGTATGGAACTTCTTCCGTCTGGAGAATGAGCATCTAAATAACTGTGGTGAATTCCGTGCCGTGCGGGACATCTCTGTAGCCCCACTGAATGCAGATGATCAGACACTCCTTGAGCAGATGATGGACCAGGATGATGGGGTGCGAAACCGCCAGAAGAATCGGTCATGGAAGTACAACCAGAGCATATCCCTGCGCCGGCCTCGCCTTGCATCGCAGTATGTATAGCCTACACTTCTGAATAGAGTACTCCTTTGGTCTTTAACATTGGGTAACATTAGCTAAGAAGCAGAACCAGAAGTTGCTGATACTCAGCCATGCTTCCTTCCAGACAGTAGTAGTAGCAAACCATTCCATATGATCAACTTCTGGAATGTCTTCATGAGTACATCAGACAAGTGTCAGTGTATTACCTATTAACTGGGAATATAAAAGAACATAGGAAAAAATTCTTGGAAAATGATTCACTTGATTGTTGAATATGGTATATTTTGATAGTTTATTTAGAAATCCTATCATTTGTGTAACCTTGACCTAGTTCTTGAATTTCTCTGCTACCACTCTTCTGTACATTGGAATGTACGTAGCTCAAAGGGAGATTAAGAAGAATAAACTCGACAGAAAGTGATGGTACCACACCTTTAATCCCAGCACTTGGGAGGCAGAGGCACATGAATGTCTGTGAGTTCCAGGACAGCTGGGGCTACACAGAGAAACCCTATCTTGAAGAAAAAGAAAAAAAAAAGAGGGGGAGAGTAAATTCATTACTTGTGAAACTTACTCAGTATCATAACAAAAAGAACCCAGCAAGTGGAAATACACACAGTGGGATTCAGTGACATTGAGAGAATAGATAGCAGAGTAGACTGCAATGAAAGAAACCTAGGTTGAACAGTTTTGTGATACTAAGGTGGTATTTGGATAAGACTACAAGTGGAAATGGAGAGTAGAAAACAAAAGCATGTGTCCAGATCTATAGTGAGAAGATATAATTGGGTGGACTCACCTGAGCTTGCAAAGACTGGCGGGGCATTTAAACAGTGGAAGCTAGAGCATCAGTTGATGCTTATCCTTGGCTACAAACAAGATGAAGGCCAGCCTGGTCTACATTAGACCCTGTCTCAAAAACAGAAACAAATAGCCAAAGACTGAAAGCTGCAAACTTCGTCTTGTAGGCAAGAAAAAGATACATGTTCTTTCAAAGAGGAATGATGTGAAAGGAGATTTTAATGACTGACATTGCACAATTATGGGACAGTAAAGACCTGGTTTGGGATCGTAAAGTCCGGACTAAAAGGAACAAAAAGGAAGCGAGCAGAGGGTGCTGTAGCCCAGTGAGCATGGGGAAATAGAAGTCTTGCCAAGCTTTAGTTAGAGATCTGGGAAGAAAGAGTAGAGACAAGAAAAGCAGGAAGCTGAGTCTTAGGTGGGAGGAAAAACAAAGCAGCAGAAGTCAACAGGGAAGTCAGCCAGAAAGGAAGGCATTGACAGGCTGGGTGGGGTGGGAGCTGCTTGGCTAGGTAAGAGAGGGGACTCAACCAGCTGAAGAAAATGCTGGCCAGCTAGAGTTCCTCCCTGTGAAGGTCTCAGAGATACCAGCAGAGGGCAGTCTAAACACACTATTTCTGTTTCAGAAGTGAGGCTCTTTGGCACCAGATTACGTTCATTTCAGGTGTTTAAGGGAAAACTAGGTGTCAGCCAGAGGACGATATTTAGAGGAATGGGTTTATGCCACAGAAAGTGCAGGAAATCTAGTGAGGCTTGAGTCTGAGTTCTGACGTTATAATTCCTGCAGTACATCCTTAGCCTTTTGAATGTCAGTTTCCCTGCTTGCCACGTGAGAATAAGTCTCCTTTCACAGACACTACCTTCACACTTGGGGCTAACAAGTTGCAGAACATTTTCATGTTACTTAATCACTTTTTTTGTTTTTCGAGACAGGGTTTCTATGTGTAACACCTTTGGCTGTCCTAGAACTTGTTCTGTAGACCAGGCTGGGCTCTAACTCACAGAGATCCACATGCTTCTGCCTCCTGAGTGCTGGGATTAAAGGCATTGGCCACCACTGCCCAGCTACTTAAAACCCCATTTTTTTTACAGTACAGAGTCCTAAGTAACCGATCATTTTATGCCGATGGCAATCAACAGCTAACCGTTTAACTGAGGCACCTACATTATCACTGGGTAGTCAGTGCTCAGACTCTGACATTTAAACATAACCCACTGTTGTTCCTGCTTGTTCACCTTTTCCAGTAGATAGTTCCTATATAGAATGCATGCTTGATGGTGGTAAGAATGGACACACGCTGAGCACTGTATGTGGTCAGTTACATGTTTATTTCCTCTCATTACCATAGGTCCAAGGCTCGAGACACTAAGGTATTGATAGAAGACACAGATGACGAAGCTAACACTTGAATTCTCTGAAGTCTAGATTAACATCCTTGGTTTCCTACTCTACAATTCTTCCCTTGACCAACGCAACCTCCAGCACCTTTTTCCAGCTGAGAACAGGAGAAAACAGAACACGTTCCCGGGCTCTTCAAATCGGGTCCTATGGACTCCGAGCAAGCTCACTGTGTTTCTTTTCTTTTCTTCTGGTTTAATCTTCATTTCCTATTTTTAAAACAAATACTTCATTTTTGCCAATCAGAGGATGTTTTAAGGAACAAAAACCTAGAATCTTATGGATTGTTTACAATCACAAAGACGCAGGTGCCCATCAGGATGAAGAACAGGCATTGGAAGGAGGCCTCTGATGGACGGCATGGACGTGACTCAGCTTCCGCCTGGCCCAGTTTTGACTGTTTGAAACTGGACACTGTTTTTTAAATTTTCTGTCAGTTTATGTGGAGAGTTTTTCCCTTCCTTCCCAGCCAGCATAGAGGCACTGGCAGCACTTGCAGGGAAAGTGCAGCTTGGCGCAGCACCCTCCACAAAGCTACTTTTTAATTTGATGTCATGGGTTTTCTCATTTGGGGAGGGTTGTGGGTGGGTGGGGGATGTGATGTATTCGTTACATTTGGTCTTCGCATTATTTATGAAACTTCACCATAAATTAATGATACTACTCCTGTGAAGGGAGGCAGGAGAAACTAAGGGTAGATGACATTTGGGAGGGTCACACCCACATACCTCTTTCAGGAAACAACTTGTACCAGTTTGACTTTTCCTATTTCGTTTTAACTTTAAGCCAAAGTTTTATTGCTAAATTTTAAAGTTGCTGCTCTAGAGTCCCAAGTGTTACTGTCATGACCTGGCACCCCACTTGCTTCTCACTAGTAGACATTCAGAGAAAAGGTCTGATAGTTGTGTCTTTAGGAACAGGAGCAGGATACATCCACCCATATACCAGTCAACAATGAGGTTCTGCCATGTGCTTCTGCGTGCAGGAGAAGTGTAGTCTGTTTTACTGACTAAATGGAAAGACGGGCCATTTTCAGACTCTCCACAACTCTACTTCATATTTCTCCTTCTGGTGTCATCTACTTTAGCCAGAATTTGATCAAATTAAAAGTCTTTTGTGGGGAATGTACTTTTGAGCATATAGAACAAATCCTTCATCCTTCAAATTATATTGACACAGAAGACCTTGGCAGCCATTTTTAAGCCCAGCAGTATTAAAAAGTGAATGGTGGTTTTTATGACCTCCTGCCATAGAAACCTGCTTTTAAATTTGGGACCTCTAAACCTCATCATACTTTTAATGCTATATTCCTTAGAAGTGTCAGGCTATAAATACCCATTTTTACTTCTTTATCTCATCCCCTTTCTTCCAAAATTCTCTAGAGAAACCCAAAAACATACAGCATTTGACTATGTGGAAAATGGTTGGTATCAAATTTAGTATTCCTCAGGACTGGGGGTATGGATCATTGGTAGTAGTGATTGCTTGGCATTCTTGAGACCTTGGGCTTTCTCTCCAGCATGGGGGGGGGATCATTATTTAATAAAATTAATATAAATACCAGGAAAAAGTCTGCATTAATGGCCTCACCCCTCAGATCTAGATGAAAGTCCCACAGAGAAGATTCAACAGAGTTCATCCAGTTAGGCCCTTTTCGCATTAACTTTAGACAAAGAAGCACTGACTGGGAAGACATCAGTGAACGCTTGCTTTGTTTTCAAAATGTGGCTGCTGCCCTCTAATTCTCCCTTTTGTCATCAGCCCCTCCTATATATATGTATCATAACCTTTACTGCACTACTAAAATTCCACCAATTCACCCATTAACTTCCTTTTAGAAATGGTTTCTTTCATTTTTATTCTGGCAAAGTTCAATTTTTTTCTCCTTTCTGAATTAAGATTTTAACACATACATACACCCCCAAAAGCACATACAATATTGTAAGTTCTGCTGCTTTTTGTGTTTTGTCAAGCATGTCCCTTGCCCCAACACTAAAAAACAAACATTTATTTAAAAAACAAACTTTAAATAAACTGTATACTTTATAATAATCAGTGGTAGCAACTTAGAGACCCTTGGTAGATAAAAGGTTGCATTATTTCTATTTAGAATTTTTTTTTCTAACTGTTCTGGGTTTTTGTACTTTAAAACAGGTGGTAGATTTCACTGGTTTCTGAGGTAACAGTAGCAATTATTAAGAATATAGAAAAGTCCAGTGACGAATCATTTCTTGTACAAATAAAATTAGTGGTACTATGTATCCAGAGCCATATGAATTGTGGACTTCTTGGCAACACACACAAACTCACACAGTTGACTTCTGTCAGTTAACAAATGGCCAGTTTGTTCTTTCTTCACCTCCTGGAATTCCAGGTCCTAATCAGTATTAATTCCTTTACAATAATGCAGTGATGGAATATTCCTTTTCTGGTGTTTATCCTGTTGACTACTCAAAAGTAAGGCTTACATGCTATCCAGCTTACCACGGCAGATCCCAGTACTTATGGCACGCTCCAGCTTCATCTTCCCCTAGCTCTAAAGAGATTACTTCATCCAAGGAATTTGGGAAACAAAGTATGCGTTATGGTTTTTCCTTTGAAAACGGCAATGTGCATTTTTCTGTCTTCACTTTCATCTGCTCTAGGCACTGTGAGCACTCTGTCCTGCTAATGTTCACTTGGGTAATCCTGTGCCCAGAAACTCCTGATGGAAATCTTAGAAGTGAATCCATATCATAGTCATGTTACAGACTAACCAAAGGTAACCCTTCATCTGACTGTAGCCCTAGAACCCTTAATTTTATTTTATTTGAAAAGGACTCCATTTTTAATAGCACTTAAATATTCCCAAAAGAAATGAAATAGAGAATAAAGCCTGTTTTTTATTTTATACTATGTAGAAAAATGGAATACAGAGCTATTAGCAGTTTCTTCATAACAAATAAATGCCTTTACCAGAAGCTGCCATGCCAGGACAATAGATCATTGATGGTGTCCTCTCATCAGAGAAAATGGAGTGATCAGAGATGAAGTCATCTGATAGTTTGATGTGACAGTCACATATGCCATGTAAGCTTTTTGTCTCTAGCACCCTATTACTAGACTCCTTACACAAACTGTGTAACTTTAGATTCAGGGGACACCGTGAAAAAATATGCCAATAACTCAGCGAGAACCTGGATGAACTCTTAGAGGAGGCCCTACCTCCTGGGAGCTGTGACTCCCCAACATTCTGAATGAGTTCTCTGCTGTTTTAGCTGACTCGATTGTCATGGTTCCCTAGTTTCTAAACAGATGGACCTAAAGCACCTTCAAGCGTGGAACCGAGTCACACAGAAGCACATTGGCAGTGATTTGGAGGTGGCAGAAAGGACTTGACAGCAGAAACAGGGCACTAAGTAAATCACGTGACGTTTCCGTCCCTCTGTGCCTCCATTTCCTGTCACTTTGCATCATTTAATAGTTCTTTATATCCAAATTCAGTTTTCCAAGAAGTAACTACAGAGATTTCTTATCCTGAGGAAAGGAATTTAGAAATAACGCTCTCTGTGACATTATATTAAACCCTTGGGATTCTCTGAAGTGATTATACTTTTTCATAAGTATGTTTTAGGTTGTCATTCTTTTATTAGTTTAATAAAATTTGCCTCCCTCTTAATAGATACTTCTTACTGTAAACAATATGCTCTGGTGTCTAAAATTAAGAAAACTTCTTAGACTAAAAATTGATCATGCTGAATCTTCATCTCTCTCTACTATAGAGACCAAACTTTTCTCTAGTCTAATATGCCAGTGTCATTATTGACCAGGTAAAATAGAAATTCAGATTGCATTTTGAAAATGGTAATATTTTTTCTTCTTGGTCTAATTGGTTTTTGCTGGTCATTCACTTAAACATGGATTTCTGCATTTCTGATATCAGTCATGATATTAAAGCTTAAAGCTCCCAACCTGCCTATTTCAAGTTTCTACAATGTCAGATATGTGGGATAGAGCTGATTATATTGTAGCATCAGTTTGTGGTATGCAGTGTGGCAAATCGCCTTCTAGCCGGCATTAACCACACACTACTCAATAAATAGCAAAAAAGCAAAAGCATCTCATTAGATTTGAGAGCGGAAGTTAAACAGTACAAACATTTGCCTATGGAGAAGAGGTGCTTCTGGGTGTGGCCCCTGATGCCTTTCTCACATGACCTTTCAAAACCAATACTGAGTAGCCCCCTAGAAACAACTTTCAGAATATATTTTCTTACAAAGGATGAGGATCTTAAGAAGGATGAGGAAATAAGGGGGGCAAGATGAGTTTCCTTCAAGTGTGGAAAATCATATCAATTTACAACTGAATGTGTTTCCTTGTAGCAAACCTTCAGTTTATTTTATTAAACCAATGCCAGCTTCAGTTTTTTTGTGCGGTGCCATCCACCTACGGAGGACAATCAAATGACCTATTGTTTGCCTTGGATTCAGTGTCTATTGATTGAGTCTCATCTTGTGTACCTTTGAGCTCCATTTATACTTGATGCCTGTCCATGTGAACCACCACAGTGCTGTCAGAGGGCAGCCGGCAGCACTGTTGGACAGATGTGGACTTGCGAGAAAGGGCAGGGTCCTGCCTCACTGTCTCTCAAACACTATCCTTAAAGTTCTTGCCTGCACTTCCACCATCATCCTTAGCAACACTAGTGTGCTGTACACAGGGAGAAAGTGTTTGTGACATTGTTACTGTTTTGAACTGTTAAGGTAAAAGTGCAAGCTGCTCCTATTTCAGTTGCAAAAAGAACAAAACCCTTGAAGTTTTATTACACTGTAAAGATGCATTTTGTGAGGTTTCTGGGTTATCACAGAAGCTTGTATCAATGAAGAGTAGGAGGGAAATAGGGTAAAACTTACTTTCCTTTCAAACCCTCTCTAGTGTGTTTTACACACACACACACACACACACGTTGATCAGATGATACTGTCCTGTGACTCCCTAAGCTATAGTTGTCAAGAGTAACTATGGATTGTGATTAGTCCTCTGTGGGTAACTCTTGCCCCATTTGCCCCCTTGCTTTCTTTCCTACTCTCCACTCTTGTGAATGGAAAAGGTGACGTCAAGGAATCAATGCTTGCTTGGACTCATGTTGTATCTGTGACTATGCTATTAACTGTCTCCTTTTTCCTTCTTATATGGGTAGAAATCTTATGACCTGTGGAGTTCCCTTCTGAATAAGTAGACTAAATGCACAATGTGGTACTGTTCTATAGTTTCTAGATGGTGTAAAAAGCAAAAAGTCAATGTGCTTATGTGTTTTTAAAAGAAAATAAGTGATTGGTTACAAAACTCTGGCCTTTTTCATTATTACAAGCCCTGTTTTCCAACAGTTTGCTGACTTGTCACTGGTGAGTGCTTTGTGTCACTGTGTGCCTTTCTCTCTGGGTGTCTTGGATTCCTGATCCTATTCCCCCTTAGTACTAATACGTATATGGACTTAACACAAACAGTTTACAGTGGTGAATTAGAAAAACACCATTTGGGGCTGGAGAGACCTTTCAGCAGTTAGAAACACTGGTTGCTCTTCCAGAGGTTATGAGTTAATTCCCAGCAACCACATGGTGGTTCACAACCATCTATAATGAGATCTGGTGCCCTCTTCTGGTCTGCAGGTAGAACGTGGTATATGTAATAAATAAACCTTTTTTAAAAATTAAAAGAAAAACATAACTTACTAAATTCAAAAGCAATTTTTTAAAAAGCCAGGCATAGCATAGAGGAATACTCTTTCAGCCTAGGCACAGTGGGGAGGGCTGAGGCCCTGCTCCAAATGATGTGACAGACTTTGAAAATCTCCCATGGAAGGCCTCACCCTCCCTGGGGAGCAGAAGGGGGATGGGATAGGGGATTATTGGGGGTAGGGGAGGGAAAGGGAACTGGGATTAACATGTAAAACAAGATTGTTTCTCATTTAAATTTAAAAAAAAGGGGGGGGGAGCCAGGCATAGAGGGCTATACCTATAATCCCCAGCACCCAGGAGGCTGAGGCAGGAGAAGTGCTATTAGTTTGAAGCAGGCCTTGGCTATATGGTTCCAGGCCATCTGGGCGAGAGAGAGAGAGACAGAGACAGAGACAGAGACACAGAGACAGAGAGAGACAGAGACAGAGAGAGAAACAGAGAGAGAGAGACAGAGAGAGACAGAGACAGAGAGAGACACAGAGAGAGAGAGAGGAGAGACCCTAAAAACTAAAATAATCTTAAATGACTTTTTTTTCAAGGTATGGTTCTAAAACAATGGAATTGCTGCAGCAATTTTTGTCTTTTCTTCCACAAGAATCTCGAGTATTAAGTGAGACACTGTGCAATTGTATACTGGAGAGCAGCACCATTGCTGCCTTGAGTCCAAGCCCAGGGTGGGAGCACAGCTCTTCTTGCTGGGTGCTGGGTAGATTAGTGCTGTCTGACTAGGGACGGTTACAGGATTAACTGACCCTGAGAGCAATGTGTCCAGAATGAAAAGAGCCTTTGCTTTTCATTTTGTTGTTGGCCCTCTGTCTTCCTGTTTCCATGAAGGCTGAGAAGTTTATGGTTTCCAAGTCATCAGACTAGGCTGTAAATGGGTATGGAGAGTCACACCCCTTTCCTGTAATCCAGCTTTGTGTGCCTGTGGCCTCCTGGTTTGCCAAGTACACAGCACTGCAGTTAGGTGTGAACCAGTGGGAAGTTTTCATTTTAATTAAGACCCAGAGCAGATGACTGTAACCCTAGATAATTACAGGAGCCCAGTGGCTCTTTCTGCCATTGTAGACACATCTGAAATTCTTGGACTTTCACTCATCTGTATCTTTTTCTGTTTTTTTTTTAATTCAACCTTTTCCAAGGGTTATAAGAATAATAGTCATTTATCCTTTCTGACTCGTTTTCCAGCTTCTCGCCCCCCCAAAGGCATTGTATAGTTCTTATATTTTTTAAGATTTACACATGTTTATTGAGTCTCTACCATGCACTCAGTCGACATTACTTAGCTTTCACTGAAGTTGGCTTTGTTAATTTTATGAACTGAAGACAGTATGTTATTTTTATGAAACCATTGGCAAAATAAGCCAGATTCCTGGGTATCTGCACCCATAATAAGCTGGATTTTCTTTCAAATCACAGGGGTTCTTCACCCTGTCCTGGGCAATCAGTAAAACCTATTCTGGGTACTTTCATCCCTTGAAAAACAAATGTGAGACAGAACAAGGTGGCAGACAAGACACTCCAATTACCATCTCCCCAGACATCCAAGTTCATGTACCAAACACTCAGCAGCTAAGGGAATCTAGTGAGAGACCACAGTGCTTGGTTTTAGCATGACAATGAACAGAAGGACAAAACATGCCCTTGCCACCACATCCCTCTTCCACTTCAGGCAGCCCAGCAGAGGCATTTCCCACTTAGTGAAGGGATCCCTCCTTAGTTAATACCCAGTAAGTCTAGGCTTAGACTTGAAACCCAGTACCAGGCTTTCCATGGTAAAATCCAGGGATAATGTGGCTTACTGTGAGTAAGGGAATGCCACCACAACCCTCCTCCAGCCTGACAGCACAGCTCTTGGCAGGTGCCCACAGGTTCTAAAACCGCCCTTATACCAGAAAGAGACCTGCACCCGGTAGAATAGATCCGTGTTGGCCTGCATCACCTCCAGCTATGGTGTGGACTCTGATGCCGCTCCCCAAACTACAGGTCTCCATGGTCATGTAACTAGGTTGTAAATAAGCTATCTAGTCTAGGAGGCCAAGGGCAGTGTAGTGTGCTTTTAAGTACCTATTTACAAAGGTCAGGATAAACACAAGACATAGCTCTGGAACTCTGCTTCCAGATGAAACCTCATTTCCAGGCCCACAGGGCCTTAGGAAGAGCTTCAATGCCAAGAGAATACATAGAATTCCAGGATGCTGGCCTAACATTGCAGCTAGCATCACTTATGCTGGTTGCAGGAATCTTGGGCCACAAGTCCCCGGCAATAGGCAGTCTATAGCTGTGTGGCTCTTGGTCCTACCCCAGTGTTGTGTTGGTCTTGACGGGCTGTTTGTTCAGCTTACACCACAGTTGTGATGTAGGAATTGGCATTAGTTCATCTGTGGTGAGTCTGCCTGTAGTTGCACAGAATCCCACAGTGCCTGACCACATTGTGGTAACTATGGGAAAAGTATGCAGGCCTCCTCCAACCCAGGGGGAAGTTTGAGAAGACAGACTGCTGTTGCTAAGTAGTCTCTTGGTTCCTCCTCAGCAACACACCAAGAGTAAGTACATCTGGGATAAGTGGGCATAGACTACCCTCTATAATGAAACAATCGGTGCCCCTACTTTCATATACTCCTGCTCCTAATGCAATTGTAACAGACCAAATTGTAAATCACTCCCAACTGGGACGCCTCTGTAAACAAGGAACTAAATATGAGGTAACCAAAACAGTCTGCAGTGACATTTGGTGACTGATAGAGTGAACTCTCAGCCATGACACAGCTATACAAGCTCATTGTGGAAATGGAAGAACCAAGAAGAATCTACTTAACCCAGAAAGACACAGGTCAACACTGGCAACACAGGCTGGGGCTAACAACTGTCAGTCAAGTTCAAGGTCAGCAGCTAGCAAAGCCCACGTTAGAGGTGGGGGTGTCGGCTACCCTAGCTGGGTGGGCAGTGCACAATGTGGGATCATCTACCTTGTTGAGCTATGGTGGACAGACAAAGTGTGACCCTCCATAGGCTTAACCCATGGTAGCTCAGAGAACTAACTGTTGTGGAATATTTTGATTGCATTCTGACAATCCTGAGACTGCCCAATAAAGTTATACTTTGAATCAGGGAGCGGAGCCAGTGACTAGCTGACCAGAATTGGCCATAGAGAAGCCAGCAATTTGGATAGAGAAGATGCACAGGAAGGAAAGGGTCGGGACTAGAGTTTGAGCTAGCTTGGTTCTGGGATTAGGAGAGAGATGTGTCTCTGACCAAAGAGCAAGGTCAGCTAGCTGCTACTCAGCCTCTCTGAGCTAGTAGGTTTTCACTCCAGTCTTTGACTTCTGAGTTCTATTGGTAAACAGACTGATACAGATTTAATTTAACCACAGGACCAAGAAGCCAGGCCATGGGATGGCAGACAATAATTAAACTATCAGTAGATTCATGTGCAGTCACTAAGCTGACAGAAAAACATCAACTCGCCGATCTCTTAGCAACGACCTCAGCCTTGGCTATGATGCCAAACAAGGAAGTTCAAAGGTTTCCTCTCTTGGAAATCCCTCTCTAAGAGTTTATCCCTTTCCTCAGCTTTTCACTTTTCTGTAATTCTCCTCGATAAAGCTTACTTCCACTTGGCATCTCCTGTTGAGTGTCTTCATCTCTAATCTTCATTGATGTAAGACAAGGAACTCAGAGCCCCTGCCTCGGGTCAGTCTTTGGGGCCTGTGAATGTCCATCACCCTGGCTGTGTGAGTCATGAGCAACTAAGTGAGTGGTTCTCACCCTTCCTAATGCAGTGAGCCTTTAATATAAGTCCTCGTGTTGTAGTGACCCCGACCATAAAATCATTTTGTTGCTACTTCATAACTGTAATTTTGCTACTGTTAGCAGTTGTAAATAATCTGTGTTTTCTGGTGGTCTTAGGCCAACTCTGTGAAAGGGTCACTCAACCCCACCCCCTACCCCAGGGATTGCAACCCACAGGTTGAGAACCACTGAACTAGGCTATGGACAGTCCTATTGCACTCTAACTCTGCAGCCATAATCCATAAAGACAATTCTCAAAAAAATTAATACTGAAGTAATATCAGTTATCTTTTTTTGATGACAACATAATATCCATGACAAAAATCAGGCATGCATGGCGGTGCATGGTTGTAATCCCGGATACTCTGGAGGCTGAAGCAGGAGAATTGTAAGTTTGAGGTCAGCTGGGAAACATAGCAATACCTGATCTGAAAACACAAACACTCAGAAATTAGTAATAAAAACTAGGGGGAAAACACCAAATGCGTGGACTTACTTTCAAATTACCCATGAGCCAAGGGAGAAATGAACAAAGGGATTTAAAGTGTCTTCAAACAAAAATGGACTAAACATACTAAAATCTATGGGCTACACCCAGAGCAGTGTTGATGGACCTTTACAGCCACTGATGCTTGAGATACAATGACAGGTCATGTGAGATCTTCCTACTTTAAATGTAGACAAGGTGGAAACCATAGCGGTCCACTCCAGCAGTGGGGCCTGGGGCGCTATGAGTGCTAGACTGGACTAGACTATGAAGCAGAAACTGTCTCAAGAGCCAGGAAAAGAAAGAATGAACAGGACATGGGAAGGAAGGGGATGAAAAGAAAGATCAAAGCAGAAATAAATGAAATTG